TTTTCCAATAATAGATGCTTTAGAACTTGTGGCATGTTTTATATGTTTTATTTGGTGCAGTTTTTCTTTATAGGATTCTTCTCTTTAGTCCTTGAAAATGACTTGTCTGATGGTGTTCTATTTTTTTGTTACCTTTTTGAACTTTAGTCATGAAATCCTTTGCAGCAGTATGGTTTCGTTCATAATCTTTTCTATTTGAGCCCAAGCGTCGTTCTTTACCATTGGGGTTCTTCTCATCTCAATTTAATTTTGCTTAGCTTAGGCTATTTGAGACCTGTTATGTCATGGATTTTCAACTAACCGTTAAAAAATATACATATATATAAACTTGCTCCTGTTTTAAATTAATGTTTGTATTATTTACTTATTTGAAATCAACATGTTCTCATGCATTGCGTTAGAGTAAGCTTGCATATTTATTTCATTTGGCATCTCTTGTTTAAGGTTGTTATCGTTCTATTTTGTTCTCTTTTCATTTTCCTTTTGGCCTTTGGCTGTTTATTTAGAATTACAGGCCCTCGGTGAATTAGTTTCTTTGCTTAGGTTCCTAGCTAGTTCCTTTCAGCTAGTCTTCTTCGTGGTTAATTTTATAATAAAATGTTGGAAATTTTATGTGGACTTTTACTAATTGTATTTTAGTTTTTTTTTTAAATGGATTAAATGAAAAAACCGGTAAAACCCAATAAAATTATGTGATTCAAATAGACTTAGGGTTTTTTTCAGTTTTATATGGTGTGATATAAATAGGTGTGGAGCATAGAATTAAAAAATGAGCTACTTGATGGGGTGCCATCCTCTCAAATTCAGAAAACCCTACCTCTATAAATAATAGAGTTAAGCAGCGACATAACTCATTAGTTATCACTATGCAAAAGTTGAATAGGGAGAGGAAGATTTAGCCTTTTAACTCTTTTTGTTTTGTTTCTTTTGAAGATATATAGATCAATGGCTTCCAACAACAGTACGTGATTTTATTATTTAATTATTTAAGTATGATGTTTAGAATCTAATTGTGTTAAATTTATGTATTGAAAATTATTACGTTAGAATATCCCTTGACATCATGTTATATCCTTGTGTCGGTTGTATGTAAACAATATGTGAAAAGATAAAACAGGATCAAAGATGGATTTTTTTTTTTTTAAAAAAAAAGAAAACTAATTAAGATAAATAATAATGAATGAAATAGCAGGACATAAATCATATAAGCTGGAAGAATAAACCACCATACAATAATTCACGCACAAACAATAGAAATCAGTTTGAAAGAAAGCAAAATTAGTCCGCCAAGATGGATCTGACATTGTGGACGATAAAGAAGAAGCATAATTTCTTATTTATGTCTATAAAATTTCAGAAACGAAATGAATACAGATAGACAATTCTACATGAAACTTACTTCGACCCATGGCGATCTGTGCAGAAATCGGCGGCCAAAACGCTAGGAAAT